TTTTTATAAATGTTTTTCTCTCTCCTCAAAACGAGCTCATTTTCTTATATCATTAGTGGGATCGGCCCGGCCGATCGCCACATCGTCCCGGGACGATCAGGCCAAAATTGATCGTCCTGGACGACTCCCAGAACTATTCTCAGGACGATATTTTCTACAGTGCAGATCGGCCTGGACGATCTCACTATTGTCCCAGACGATTCAGTCCAGAAATCACTCCATAGAACATTCCAGAAATCAACTGTTTTCAATACACTGATCGGCCTGGACGATCTCACCATCGTCCCGGCCGATCCTGGGGAAAAATCACTTTTCCCAGCAGCTACAGCAAAGGAACGAGGTCTCACACTTCCCACCAAATGGAAGGTGGCAGAAAGCAAATTAAATTCAAGGTCTCGCTGTCTGAATGCATGGAGATTTGATAAAGATATCTTTTTGACCTTTTTATTAGTGATATTATGAGCTGCTGAACACATATATTTCGACTTTTGATTACTCAAATCAAATTATCTTTCAGATTTTGCTTCATAATTGTTGTTTGGATATAGGTATTGTTCTTCAACAGTAAAGAGATCCGAAATTTGCTGTTTGTGTTAAACCGCCATCTGCATAAAAGGTAGCAGCAGGTTTGCGGTTGGATACATAACTTTCACAACAGGTTACAGAACTTTTGGTTGGATGCAGAAAAATTCAAAAATCTCACCGGTTCTCCGTGAATAAAGCTAGTGTTGTGCGGAGTGAAGGCCACAGGCGGAAGAGCAGGTCAGAACGCGAAAATCGCAGACGGGAAGGAAAAAACAAAAGAACGGAGTGAGGTTGCTGTTAAGGGAGTGCTATTTTTGTTGTGAAAATAGAAAATAGGTGGTAAGAGTGTAATATTTAAGCTTTGAGTGTTAAATATGTAATATACACGTTATAAAGTGGTATGTATGTAAAAATCCCTAATATTTATTCAAATAAAATAATAGGCCAATGATGGCGCAAGTTTTTTAGGGTTCATTAGGATTTTTTTTTTTGAACTGAGAAACGTCATAACAGCATTGTGATTGAGATTCCGATACAAACTCATGCGATTACGACCGGCGAAAAGGTTATGCTAGGATTTCGCGTGTCTTCTTCACCTTTGTCGTGCTGCTGTTCGCCTGCCTCCCCTTTGGAGGCCTCTTCCCCCTCTCTGATGGAGTTAGCTCCATCAGATTTCCACCCCCCCCCCTAAAGCTCAGGTTTTTTCGATGTCTTTTGTTTCTCCCTCGCCCAAACTCTCTTTCAAGGGAGATGATCTGTCGGAACATTCGTCCATCTGGTCGCTTGCTCTTGTTGGTTATTCCTTGGGTCAAAGGCCTTATTATGAAAGGCTGCTCTCGGCAATGAAGAAACTCTGGGTCCTTAAAGGTTCTCTTTCTCTCCTTTCGCTAGAGGATGGGTTCTTTCTATTAAAATTTACTTCTCAATAAGATCTGGACATGATCTGGATGGGAGGTCCCTAGTTCCTTCTAGGGAAGCCTTTCATCCTCCAAAGATGGTCGCCTAAGTTCAAGCATGTTCGCGACGAAGCTGCTTCCATTATGATTTGGGTTAAAATCGTGGATCTCCCTCTGGATTTGTGGACTCCTACTGGTATTTTTCACATTGCGAGCTACATAGGTATTCCCCTTACTGTTGATTCGCTTACTGCAAATAGGACTAGGCTTACTTTTGCTCGGGTTTGCATTCAAATTTCGAAAGATTCTAAGCTACCTAAGGAAATCCCGATACAAATTGAAGAGGAAGACATGTTGTTGAAGGTGGTTTATGAATGGAAGCCTTCTCCTTGCGAGGGCTGTGGATCGCTTATCCACCCTTTTTCACTGTGTCCTTCAAATCCCAACCTGAAACCAATTTTACATCCTCCACCGACCTACACCAGGGGAAGAAGTTTTAGCCGCAATCCTTCTTCTCGGCAACCTGGTTCTCGTTCCAAACCTCCTGTCCCTACTTCTCTACCGTCCTCCTCTCAACCATCAATACCCTTAAACGGCATTCAGCAACCTTCTATTGCTCTGCCGTCTACCTCTCATTCCCAATTTCCCTTTGCTAGCCAACAGCCTTCTCCTCCTCCACCTTTGGTCTCTGGCCTTGTCTCCTCTCCTATGAAGCCTCTTCTTCCTAACCTTAATGCACCGTCGGAAGACCTCTCGTCTTCTGTCCAAGGCATTGTCTTACCTCCTGCTTCCCCCTCTGTTATTCCTACTGGTAACAAGTTTGCGTCTTTACAATCTGACGATATCTCTGTTATCCCTCCCCCTCACCTCCTCCCCTCTTCTTCTCATGTTTAGTCGGATGCCAGCACTTCGCTTTCCTCTTCGGCTGATGGTTTAAACTTCAAGGATTCTGCTAAAGGCCCTTCCTCCTCTTCCTCCATGCATAAGTCTTCTATTTCGTCACCTCAAACATCCAAGAAACCCAAGTCTAAGAATGCCAAGAAGGCAAAATCGACTCGGTATTAATGTTTAATAGCTCTTTTGCTTATTGGAATGTGCGGGGGTATAATTGCTCGGACAAGGTGCGGATATGCAGAGATCTTGTCAAGTCTTATGAGTTAAAACTTTTATGAATACTTGAGGCCAAAGTGAATCAACAGGCGGTTTTGGACCCTTGGTTTGTCCATTCTCATTCTATTTTTGAGAATGAAGGTTGTTGTGATAATTTTCACTGTACTTCACCCGGACGCATTTGGATTAAGTGGGATTCCACTCTTGTGGCTTTCTCTCCCACCTTCTCTTCTTCTCAAATTATTCATGGATGATAGAAGAGCTCTTTGGGACCAATTACGTAATCTAGTTCCTCAACCTGGCCAGCCTTGGCTGATCCTTGGAGATTTCAACTGTTGTAGATTCAATTCTGAAAAATCTGGAGGTGTCTCTATTAATTCTGGGAGGCTGGATGAGCTCAATAAAGTTATTTTTGACTGTGGTGTTCAGGACTTGGCTTATGTTGGTCTTTTCTTTACATGGTTTAATCAACGGGTAGATCAACCTATTCACATCAAGTTAGACCGCATGCTTGTCAACTCTGCCTTCCTAGATCTTTTTCTTCATGCCTTTTATAAGGTAGTGCCCCCATCTGGCTCGGATCACTCTCGCCTCATCTTCATGGCTGGCAATTTCGATAAACCTCCTTCTAGGTTTATGTATAAGAACTTCTGGGCCCACATGTCTGGTTTTGGGAGGCGGTGCAGCAAGCTTTTTCTTCCCTTGTTTCGGGTTCCCCCATTGCTGCCTTTTGTGTTCGTCTCAAACTCCTTAAGAGGGATCTTAAAGTCAAAAATTGGGTCTCCTCCAATTACATTTCTCATGCTATTCATGAGCTTAAAAGTTAACAACATCTGCTTCTTCTACAACTTCAAAATCAACCTCTGGATCAGCATCTTAACTCTTCCCTTAAGTCTGTTAACAGTAATTTGATTTCCTATCAAAAAGCTTGGTATTCTTGGAACTATCAGCGTGCTAAAGTTTCTTGGCTAACTCAAAGAGAAGATGACATTGGTTTCCTCTATGCTAGTATCAAGTCTAGAAAAAATAGAAATTGCATTAAAGAGATTTCCTCAACTCTTGGGCACTTCTCCTCTCATTCTGATATCGCTAAGGCAATGATTTCTCATTTTAAGGATATCTTCAACTCTCCTTGCCCTACTGCTGTTAATGGGTTCAACTTTCCTGTTGGCAATTTGGTTCCTCAATCTTTGCTTAGTGATTTGGTTGCCCCGATCTCCTTTGAGGAAATTAAATGTGTTGTTTTTTGCTGGGAAAGCTTCTTCTACTTCGGGACCTGATGGCTTCTCCTTTGATTTTTACAAGAAGACTTGGCACCTCATTGGTCCCCAACTATTTTCTGTTGTTAAATGTTTCTTCGATACGGGTTCTCTTCCTAAGGGAGCTAAGGTCACTGCTATCACCTTAATTCCTAAGGGCTCTCATGCTTCCTCCATTTCTGATTACAGACCTATCTCTTTGTGCAATGTGCTTTATAAGATTATTGCTAAGGTGTTAGCTAATAGGCTCAAACCTGTGATGCCTCATATCATACACCAAAGTCAAGCCAGTTTCATCTCTTCTAGGTGCTCCACTGATAACATTCTTCTGGCGGCTGACATTCTTAGAGAATTCAAAAATGGAAGAAATTTGTTCTGTGCTAAATTAGATATTAAGAAGGCCTTTGATTCTCTTTCCAGAGATTTCCTTCTTGACAGACTTCGTGCCAAAGGTTTTCCTGACATGTTTATTTGCTGGATCAAGGGTTGTATCTCTGATGTTTACTTCTCTATTTGCCTTAATGGCTCTCTGGAAGGTTTTTTAAAATCCTCTTCTGGCCTGCGCCAAGGATGTCCTCTATCTCCTCTTTTATTTTGTATTGCTATGGATAGCCTTTCTTGTTCTCTTCAGGACTCCAATTTCAGGGGAATTGGTTGCAATGGGGTTAACATTAATCATCTCTTGTATGCTGATGATTTGTTGGTTTTTGGACAAGCTTATGTTGCTAATGCTAATAATCTCTTGCTTGCTCTGGACAATTTTGCTGGGATTTCTGGTCTTCATGTTAACCCCTCCAAAAGCTCCATTATGTTTGCTCCCAATGTTGTCGTGGCCTCTGATATTGCTTCCAGGCTTAATATTCATCAAAGAGATTTGTTCTTTACCTATTTAGGCCTGCCAATATCTCTTCATAGACTTAAATATGTGCACTTTCAGCCCCTTTTAAGTAAGATTTCGGGCCTCCTTGAGGGCTGGAAGGTCAGGTTCCTCTCTTTTGCTGGCCGAGTTCAATTTTTAAAGTTTACAATTGCTAACACAATTGCTTACTGGATTATGGGCTCGATTATACCTAAAACCTGTCGTAATGTGATCTCTAAATTGTGTTCCAAATTTCTTTTTCACGGGAACATCTCTGACAGAAAGATTCATCTCATCTCTTGATATACTCCTACTAAGCCTAAATGTAATGGTGGCCTTGGTTTGCCTACTTTTGATTCTCTTTATTTTGGTATTTTTTGCTCCTATATTTGGAGACTGTTTGGGCAAAATTCTCTTTTTAGCTCTTGGTTTAAAACTAAATATGAGTCACCTTGGAAGCCCCCTCCCCCTCTTGCTTCCAAAGCTTGGAAACTTATTTGCTCTACTGCTATGGAAATTAAATCTTCTTTGGAATCCTCGGTTTGCCCCTCTTGCAAATTTTCTATGGTTTGGGATCCTTGGTGTAATGGGCGAGCTCTATCTGATTTGGATCCTCAAAATTCGAAAGCTTTATCTCATAAGTTGGTGGAAAATTTTATCTGTAATGACCAGTGGGTCTTACCTGCTGATTGTTCTCTATGCATTCGTGATGCTATTCTTCAAATTAGGATTCTGGAGCAACCGGCTCTTGCCTTGGACGGCTCCATCCAGCCTCCTTTCAGGAACTTTACTAGCTACTTTCACAAGGATTTAGAGGAAGTTCAATGGCATAAATTCATATGGCATAAGAATTGCACCCTTCGTTTTGCTTGTTATGCTTGGATGGCTATACTTGGTAAATTAAAATGTGCTGATTTACTGATTTTGAGAGGGATCCCAGTTTCTCAGGCTTGCTCCTTTTGTCAAAGTTTTCCTGAGAATCACCATCACCTGTTCTTCGATTGTGATTTTTCTTTTTTGGTGATTATTGGCCTGCTTCCGGTGTTTAACAACTTTCTTCTTAGGCCTAACATTTTTCAAGTTTATGAATTTTTAGACTTCTATAGCGCTTTTGGTAAACTGGAGAAAAACTTTTGTTTCTTTCTTATTGGCTGCACTATTTACATCCTATGGAGGGAGAGAAACAACCAGCGTTTCTCTAATGTTTGGTCTGATCCGGGTTCTATTATTCATAACATCAAGTATTTGGCTAAGACTAAAGTGTCCAAGTGGAAAGGCTATGACAAACTTAAAGATGTTTTTATGGATATACTTTAGCTGCCTCCTCAGGTTGTTTCTTTGGCTGCTTTTTGCTCTGGAGGTTATTCTGTTTGGCTTTTTGGACTTTGTTATTTGTGGATTGTTGTGGTTTTTTTGGGCCTGTGGCTTTGCTGGAGAGGAGGGCTATGTGAAGACGATGATGAGCTGGGATCTCTCAGTGGCTGCTCTGTCGCCTGTATATTTTCAGACCACATTGGATGGCCATTTGCCTGGTTTTTCTGCTGACCGGTATTTTGGGAACGTTTTGGCTATTAATCAGTTTTTGGTGGTATATGGCAACCTGGGTCTGTTATTCCTGCCAACCATTGATCTTATATTTTGTGATTTTGAGGGATCTCATTAGCCCGAGTCCTCTGTCCTCTCTTCTTTCTATTGTTCCTGTCCCTGTTTGGGATTTTCTTTTTTATTTCTTTTCCTTTACAGGTTTACATGTAAATGCTTACTTGTAACTGTTTTTTGTTTTTAATACAAGGGCTATTCCCCAAAAATTCCCAAAAAAAGGATTGTTTTTTTTATTTATTTTATTTTATTTTATTTTTTTATCTATATTTTAAAATAAATCTAAATTTTGTATGGTAAATATAATTTATTTTAATATTAAAAGAACGAGGTTTAAAATGGGGTGAGACTGGCCAAAGGGGAGATTATGTGTTACAAACCAGCACGCATATCAGACATTTTGGTGGAGAATAAGTGCTCGTCTGGATAACACATGAAAGTGAGAACACCGACTTAGGAGAATGTTATAGCATAATTAACTGAATATGAATTGACTTTTCCAAGAAAAATGAATAATTAAAAAATTTTTAAAACAAATTTACTATTAGATATAAATTAGAGAGCAGAAATAATTATTTTTCTTCAAATCAAATTCTAATGCATAACAAATAAATTCACTATATTTCATTATATCTTTTTATGACAATATTATTGATATATCATAAAAATAAATCAAGTTATAAACTTCCGAAATTAAATATAGGACCATCCGAACTTAGATTTCAACAAACTTACAGTCAAATTGAACATCTCAGAAATACAAACCTAACGACACCAAATTTGACTCAATCCAAGCCCAAATGGGTCCAAATCGATGACCCTAAGAGCATTTGGAAAGTTCAAATGATAAATTGGATGACAAAATGATTTTTCAAATGTTAAGTGCTTATAGTCAAATCGAGCGGTTTGGCGAGACAAATATCATTTAATTTTGATATCATTAAGATATTCTAACCAGTAAATAGTTCATGATTAAGGGAATCAACATCGGCCGTCCATTCAATCCACTCCCAACTTGTCCTTCATCTTCCTCCTATTTACTAGTCATACAACTCTTAGATAATTAT